GTGTGATGTGCTGTGTGTGAGGGGTGCTGTGTGTGTGTGTGTGTGTATGTGTGAGGGGTGCTGTGTGTGTGTGTCTGTGTCTGAGAGGTGCTGTGTGTGTGTCTGTCTCAGGGGTGCTGTGTGTGTCTGTCTGTCTGTTTGAGGGGTGCAGTGTGTGTGTGTCTGAGGGGTGCAGTGTGTGCGTGTGTGTGTCTGAGGGGTGCAGTTTGTGTGTGTGTCTGAGGGATGCAGTGTGTGTGCTGTGTGGGAGGGAAGGGGTGCTTTGTGTGGGGGGGTAGGGTGATGTGTGTGGGGGTGCTGTGTGTGGGCGGGTAGGGCGCTGTGTAGGGGTAGGGGTGGTGTGGTGTGTGGGGGATAGGGGTGGTGTGGTGTGGGGGGTAGGGGTACATTAAAAAATATATATATATATATTTATTAATTCTGTATCCTCCCCTCCCTTCCTCTTACCTTTGGTGAAGGAGTGGGGGTGGGACACACAACTATCCCTGGTGGTCCGGTGGTGGTAAGTAGGTTTGTGTGAAGCAGCTCTCCTGTACTCCCGCGCAATGCTGTGTGGAGCATTGCCATGGTAACGCGCGGCAATACTCCACACAGCATCACGCGGGAGGACAGGAGAGCTGCTTCATAGAGCCCTCCCCATGCCTCCCGACACAGAAGCAGAGTAGGCGCCTGCTGTTTCGGGCAGGCAGGTGCCTACTCTGCAGACAGCCAGCGGCACCCTCTCCCTGCGGCCTAAGGCCATGTGCCCACAGAGAGGGCCCGGCGTGCCACCTGTGGCACGCGTGCCATAGGTTCGCCATCACTGGGCTATAGTATGTGGAGGCATATGAGCCATTCTGTAGTGGGTTAGTCTGCTATAGTATGTGGGGGATATAGGCTTTCTTTTTTGACGGGCAGGTACAAAAAGAAATAAAAACAGACAGAATATTTTAATTTAAAAAAAGGTTTATTCTTCCTTCCTCTGGCTTACCGTGGGCCAGAGGAAGGGGAAGAGGATTGTACCCTGGTAGTCCGATGGGCAATGCACCATGTTCTTCTGGATTCCAGTAGGATATGTCAGAGTATTGCTCTGGTTACCCACGGCCAGAGTATTGTGTCCTTCCATCTCCCCAGTGTTAGGGTGATGTGGCTAGTGAGGGATATCTTCCCATCATCTTTGTAGTCCCTCTCTGGGCTGGCACTTGAGTGGCATTAGCCCTGTATGGCCCAACCAAGGAGATTCTTTAAACACCCCTCTTGGCCTCAGCCCCATGGCCAGTCGAGGTCAGTGTCAGACCCTCACTCTGTGACTGAGAGCTAAAGTGGTTAGTCTGCGCCTGCATTTGACTTCCACTGTTATCTATCTGTTCACTACTTTGCACATCTACAGTCAGGTCCATAAATATTGGGACATCGACACAATTGTAATCTTTTTGACTCTATACACCAACACAATGGGTTTGAAATGAAACAAACATGATGTGCTTTAACTGCAGACTTTCAGCTTTAATTTGAGGGTATTTACATCCAAATCAGGTGAACGGTGTAGGAATTACAACATTTTATATATGTGCCTCCCACTTTTTAAGGGACCAAAAGTAATGGGACAGATTAACAATCATAAATCAAACTTTCACTTTTTAATACATGGTTGCAAATCATTTGCAGTCAATTACAGCCTGAAGTCTGGAACCCATAGACATCACCAAACGCTGGGTCTCATCCCTGGTGATGCTCGGCCAGGTCTCTACTGCAACTGTCTTCAGTTGCTGCTTGTTCTTGGGCCATTTTCCCTTCAGTTTTGTCTTCATCAAGTGAAATGCATGCTCAATCTGATTAAGGTCAAGTAATTGACTTGGCTATTGCATAACATTCCACTTCTTTCCCTTAAAAAACTCTTTGGTTGCTTCTGCAGTATGCTTCAGGTAATTGTCCATCTGCACTGTGAAGCGTCGTCCAATTAGTTCTGAAGCATTTGGCTGAATATGAGCAGATAATATTGCCCGAAACACTTTAGAATTCATCCTGCTGCTTTTGTCAGCAGTCACATCATCAATAAATTCAAGAGAACCAGTTCCATTGGCAGCCATACATGCTCACGCCATGACACTATCACCACCATGCTTCACTGATGAGGTGGTATGCTTTGGATCATGAGCAGTTCCTTTCCTTCTCCATACTCTTCTCATCACTCTGGTACAAGTTGATCTTGGTCTCATCTGTCCATAGGATGTTGTTCCAGAACTGTGAAGGCTTTTTTAGATTTTGTTTGGCAAACTCTAATCTGGCCTTCCTGTTTTTGAGGCTCACCAATGGTTTACATCTTGTGGTGAACCCTCTGTATTCACTCTGGTGAAGTCTTCTCTTGATTGTTGACTTTGACACACATACACCTACCTCCTGGAGAGTGTTCTTGATCTGGCCAACGGTTGTGAAGGGTGTTTTCTTCACCAGGGAAAGAATTATTCAGTCATCCACCACAGTTGTATTCCGTGGTCTTCTGGTGTTGAGCTCACCGGTGCGTTCTTTCTTTTTAAGGATGTTCCAAACAGTTGATTTGGACACACCTAATGTTTTTGCTATCTCTCTGATGGGTTTTTTTTCTGTTTTTTCAGCCTAATGATGGCTTGCTTCACTGATAGTGACAGCTCTTTGGATTCCATATTGAGAGTTGACAGCAACAGATTCCAAATGCAAATAGCACACTTGAAATGAACTCTGGACCTTTTATCTGCTCCTTGTAAATGGGATAATGAGGGAATAACACACACCTGGCCATGGAACAGCTGAGCAGCCAATTGTCCCATTACTTTTGGTCCCTTGAAAGGTTGGAGGCACATATACAAACTGTTGTAATTCCTACACCGTTCACCTGATTTGGATGTAAATACCCTCAAATTAAAGCTGAAAGTCTGCAGTTAAAGCACATCTTGTTCATTTCATTTCAAATCCATTGTGGTGGTGTATAGAGCCAAAAAGATTAGAATTGTGTCAATGTCCCAATATTTATGGACCTGACTGTATCTATCTATTTGTCTACATATCTATCTATCTATCTATCTATCTATCTATCTATCTATCTATCTATCTATCTATATCTGTCTACCTATCTATCTATATATCTATCTACCTATCTATCTATCTATATGAAATAGAAACTTTCATCTGCTGTCTATTAGATCCTTTGCAGGTGAAATGTCAGTTACCGTTACCCTCAATATTCTTTTTACTAAAGTAGCCTATATTTTAAGCCAATTTCGTGTGAGCTCAGGTCCATGTATACTATTTATGTATGCTAAAGATCTCTCATTTAGAAATAAGTGGAAGAAGAAAAATACAAAATTGGCTTTGCAGATGTTGAGAAGAAATTCATTGCGGGCAATCATCATTTAATATCTACTGGTGGCTTTTTCTGTAAATGATAAATCAAATGAGTTGGCACTAACAACAATCTTTCAGCCTTAGAAGGAGGAAAGCAGGGATATTAAAATAATAGAAACATTAACATAGAATATAGACTTACCTTGAATTTATGATTAGGCACGTCTGATCCTATAGCATGTAACTATAAATCACCATTCAACGCAGGCATTTATCGTTACTATTAACTATGTAAGAGCCAGATGTGGGCATGAAACGTTGCTAACCCCTTTTGGCACAGAGGATTCTAAGTTAAAGGGATCCCATAGTGCCAGGAAAGCAAAGCCGTTTTCCTGGCACTATAGGGTTAATAGGACCCCCCTCCCTCGCGCCCCCTCCCACGTGGCTGAAGGGGTTAAAGCCCCTTCAGCCACTTACCTGAATCCAGCGCCAATGTCACTTGGCCCTGCGTCAGGCTCGGCCCACACTCCTGCCCGCTGTCGCCAGCCGGTGGGGAAGACCTAATGCGTTCCTTTAAGACGACGCACTTGCATTCTGCAGTGGGGGAGGGAAACTGCATGCTATTACTTCAAATTATCATAAACTAAACTACATGTCGAAACTAAACCAATTAAAAAAAAAAAGTTCAGATATTACATCTGATTCAGAAGAGTATCCTGTTTTGCTATACTGTGGGTTTATCCCTCTCCATTGGAGCAATTCAAATCCAGAGCCAGGGGTGATAGGGCTCTGGTCCATAGTACTCAGAGAAGATCCTGACTCCAGTGCAGTTGCTAGCGCACTCCAACTTTCTGGTATCTATTGCTAATTTGTGTCACTGTGTGTCACTTGGGGGTAGTGAAGCAGCACTGCAGATATTCTTAAGCGCTTTGACTCCATCTGGTTTTTCACCATTCATGGTCCCCCTTCAGATGTAGGGCCAAAGGAAATGGTACGGTACTTTTAGGTTGGAGCTACTGGTGTCACATGATACATTCCATTGATTGGCAGACAGAACAACGTCAATGATCACGTGAAAGGCAAGTGTGAAACAAACACCACAACGCCGTTTAGTCCAGATAATAGGAGAAGGATGCCTGCAAACAACTGCAAGGTCTGGTCGGCTCAGGAACTATCCACTTTCCTAACTGTAATTGGCGATAGCGTTATTCAGAGTGAGCTTGATGGATCAGTGAGAAATGAAAAAGTGTATAATGAAATTTCTCAGCGTATGGCAGCTGAGGGATTTGAACGAACATCGGGTCAGTGTAGGGCAAAGCTTAAAAAGCTGAAAGGCCAATATAAAAAAATTAAGGATGCCAACAGACGTAGTGGAAACAGTCGAAGTACTTGGAAGTGGTACGACGCCATGGATGCCATTTACGGTCATAGGCCGGCAAACTAAGGCAGGGAGGGAGGTCTGGACTCTGCATCTGCACTTCTCGAATCCATGATAGAACCCGTTGGTAAGTTTTTTTCCCTACTTTGCATTGGCTTTCACTCTGCTAACCATTTATATATTCACTGCACAAAACCATTAACTATTTGCACAAAAAAACACATTTTATTTGTACAGTGGACTGAACTATTGATCTGTGCATTTTCAGATACAGTTGATGGACTCTCCAATGATACCTCAACCTTTTCTTATGTTTCTGATGATGGTCCATCAATGTCATTCAGCAGCACCAGTACGACGACGTCAACACCGACCCAACCACAGACCCAACCACAGAGTATACCCAATGCACCCCGGCACACTGGTAAGACATGATGTTCAGAGTGAAAGTTGTAATTGTACATTTTCCTAACTTTTAATTCACAGCAAACTGTGAACTCACTCAAAATGCTTCTATGTAGTTTGTTTGCATAATTAAATCCATAACCATAATTGTACATTGTCTGTATATACTGCTATTTAAATTTCATTGTGTTTTGAGCTTATTTTAAGTATATTGTGTTTATTTTAATTTGTGCTTATACTGTTCTTATGTGTTACATCTTTTCTTTATTTATGTTATGTTAGATAATATATATATCCACCTGTTTTTTGTACCAATTGCTAAAAAAAAAAAAAACACTATTCTGGTCTTTTGTATATTCCAGGTGATAGGAGATGGTTTCAGCTGGATTTGCGCACAGTTATGGAGGATATGCGGGCAGCAGAGTAAAGGCAGCATGAAAGGATGGAGAACCTTTGAGCGGTGGCTTCAGACACTGCGTCAGGATGCCCAGGAAGTGAGGCGCCAGGAGGCAGAAATAGCCCGGCAGCAGATGGCTACCTTCAACCAGGCCTTCCTTGGTGTCCTTGGGCAGCTTGTTCAAGTGCTGGGAGGCAGTCTTGATCCCAGGTCACCACCCAGGCAGTAGTGCCTTTCAGCCAGCACAGGACCTGTACACTTTCTTATTTTTATTTTTTTGGTAAGAATATTTATTTTTGTTTTTTGTAAAAAAGGTTTATTTGTAAATATATTTTTTTACTTTGTACTTGTAAGTATATTTTGAAAGATCACTTTTTTGTTGAATAAAAAACAGGAGAGACTTTGTGTGTGTCTGATTAAATGTAAAACTTTATTAAAACTTTAATAAAACCGTAATAAAACGTTAATAAAATCAGGATAAGAAATTAAATGTTGAGGTGCCGCATCAGAGCCTGACGTATTTCACTGCACTCTTCTTCGCTATCCTGTGTAATTACCCGTCCTGGCTCTTCTGCAGACGTATTCCAATCCTGGTGGAAGTCTTCTCCATGTCTTTCACAAAGATTGTGAAGAGCACAGCAAGTAAGCAGCATGGATTTGACAAGTGCAATGTCACTGTCATTCCTCTTCATAAGACAACGCCACCTACCCTTAAGTCTTCTGAATGCATTTTCAACTACGACCCGTGCCCTGGATGTTTTCTTGTAGGTTTGTTGTTCTGGTGTCAGGCGGCCATTGTCAGGAAATGGTTTCAGGAGCCAATTTTGTAAAGGGTAGGCAGAGTCCCGAGCACATAATAGCCAACATTCACTCCCCCAATGTTCTTAGTGCAAACAGGATACAGGCCTCCCTGGCCAACCCAATCCCAAAATGTGGACAGTCGTAGAACCCGAGCATCATGCAAACTCCCAGGCTTTCCTACATTCACACTCCAGAATAGTCCTTTTCCATCCACTACTCCTTGGAGGATGATGGAATGCCAGCTTTTTCTGTTGCAGTAGTCAGTGTGGTATTCTTGTGGTGCTATTATTGGTATGTGTGACTCATCAATAACACCAATACACTGTGGAAAGCCCCACTTGTTCTCAAAGTAGTCAGCCATGTCTTTAAGCTTTTGCCAGTCCGGAAAATGAATACATTCAGGAGCTAGCAATGTGCATACAGCCTTACAGAAGTCCTGTACACACCGGCACACTGATGATTTACTGACACCAAAAAGATGACCTATACTTCTGTATTCACTGTTGGTAGCCAGCTTCCACAGTGCACTGGCAACTCTTTTCCTCACAGGCAAACAGGCTCTGAAGTTGGTGGTTTGCTTCTCCATCGCTGGACGTAGCTTTGCACAAAGGTATAAAAATGTTTCCTCAGACATTCTGAAATTGTGCACTCACTGTGTGTGTGTGAATCCAGGGACGGTCACATCCCACCACTCATTGGCACGGCGGAGAGCCCAAATGACTGGTCGGCGGCGCTGCTTTGACAAAAGGAGAAGCATCAAAAAAAAAAAAGACAGATGTTACCATATCACTAATAATACAACATAAAATACTTTACACGGACATATAGCATCATGTATAAAAGCGAGCAACATAAATAACGTAAGGAGTATTTATGTATAAGGTGTAATTCTCGAAATTTACATATGTGTGCAACATGTAGGTTGTTAAATACATAATGTATATCCATTCCATCTTATATTCGATTTTTTACATATTCTGTATTATTTTTAATTTTTAATACGTGTAGAACAACATGACAAATGGCATAAAGTTGCTTTCCCTATAGCGCTGCCGTCTTTGTCTTTGCCGCACAAAGGTGTACTTCTCCTACCGGCTAAAGACCCAAGCCATAAGTTTTCTTCTCTTTTCTGCTGTGTTTCTCTTCGGCGCTCACAACCTTCTCTCATAAAGTGCGGCATGTATTTTAATTTCAAAGAACCAAAAGCCAAATAGAGCAAAGACGAGCTGCTGGATGACCTCCATTATTGTTATTTGTAGCGTCACGTATGTTGTCGCATTAGTGTGACGCCACACTAGGCATTTGGCGTAAACCACGCAAGCCTTCAGGCATTCCAACTTGCAGTGGAAACGCTCGCCTGAATAGGTCGGACCATTCAAACCTTCCAAACTGTACCGAACCCATCAGCTCAGTGGAAACGAGGCATTAGAGTTGCAATGAAAGTGCAAAAGGGTCACAGCACCCAGACCACTTCAATTAGCTGAAGTGGTCTGGGTGCCTACAGTGTCCCTTTAACCATTAACCTATATGCTTAATAAAACTGTATAATTTAAATAGTTTATCTTATTTGAGCAAGCTTGGTAGAAATATATTAAGGTGTGGAATGTCACAGGGGTTTATTCACTAAATAGTGATATGTGATGAATAGAAAAATACAGTATATCCTATAAACCATGCATTTTGATTGATGGAACTTCAGATATTTCAGAGAAAAAGCAGTGCTTACGTTGCAGCCTAGGAACATCTTTAATGGCCACTCCTCAGATGGCCACTAGAGGTGTTTTCTGGGTCAGTGCTGCACAGTGCATTGATTCAATGTATGTGTATGAGGAGATGCTGATTGACCAGGCCAGTGTTTGGCCCATCCCACAAACTTGATGATCTCAGCCAATTCAATGTTTTTCCTATGGGAAAGCATTGGATTGGCTGAGATCATCAATTCTGATAATGTCAGCCAAAGAGGTGAATCGGGGGTGGGGCCAGCGCTGGATATAAGGTAAATTGTCTTACCTATTAAGGGGGGCAAGCTGTCTATAGGGTCAGGAATACATGTTTGTGTCCCTGACCCTATATTGTTCCTTTAAGGCAAGACAGCTGATTTGGAGAACTTTTCCAAATCCGCTATAACCATAGCTTTAATAGTTTAGCCTTAATTTTGCAATTTAAATTTCAATTTGCTACAGTTCAGTTTAGTGAATAAACCTGCTTTCATTACTTTGCTGTGAGGCTCATTAAAGGAACACTATAATGTCAGGATTACAAATGTGTATTCCTGACACTACAGTTTGGAAACTTCCATTTAGGTGTAAGGCCGCCCTTATCCTCCCGCTTAAAAGGTATAAAACATACCTTTTTTAACCCCTTAAGACCGGTGGGCGTACTATTACATCCTATTTTAGGTGGCTCTAAACGCCGCCGGGCGTAATAGTACGCCCTCCGGTCTTTCCTTACTTACCCGGTCACCGGCGGTCCCACGGGGACTCCCAGGAAGCCCCCCCGCAGCAGATCCTCCTCCTCCGGTGCCCCCCGGCCATGTGAGAGTGAAGTCCTTGCGAGGACCTCACAATCACATGGCCGGGATAGCTGGCTGCAGCATTGCCAGCAGGGGAGCTGCCTGTAATGGCAGGTGGTTCCCCTGCTGGCGAGAAATAAAATTAAATAAAATTAATAAAAGTAAAAAAGTGTAAAAAAAAAAATATATATATATACTTAGATCATATATACACATATACATACACACACATACACTGTCTAGGTGTATTTTACTATTATTAATATATATAATTATATATATATATATATATTAATATCAAATTACACGTAGACTGATATTGATTAAATATATATATAATTATTGTTATATATATATTTATATATAATATTAAAAAAAATGTATAAGGGGGCGGGGTGGGGCCGGACCGCCGAGCTGGACGGTCGCAAGACAGACCAGCTCCAGCAAAAACTAAACCATTCAGCCACAAAACTACGACTTTTACCAAAAATACCGTCCAGCAACGGCGGCCCTCGACGGGCAGAGTGCACTGAACCCAGGGTGAGGCTTGCTCGACGAGTATTAGTCCCCTGGTGAAGAAATCTTCAATGTTGAAGTTGAGGCCTACTCCAGCGGTGAGTGGAGCGGACGGCCGCCGCCCCGCTATCCTGCTGAACAGGGTCCAGCCTGGGACTTAAACCCTCGAGGAACCGGCTCCGTTCCCCCCCCTGTGGACCGGCGGGGGTGATCCCGGTCCTCACCCTGAAGTCCCGACCACTACGACTGAGACTAAGGCCTAGCAACACTACCAGTTGCAGACTCTAAGATGGCGGAGACCGCGCGCCTAACCCCAAGATCTGAGTGTATGAAAGATGCGCACCCCACAAACGCAGCTACCAACGCGGTTCAACGGCACCAAATGATCAGACACCCACAAAGCCCAGCCGTACATACGCATCCTGGCACCCTAACGGAACACCTACCTCGGGTGACTCTTCAAGCTCCCGGCTCCGGTAAGGGGATGGAACAGCAACTAGCGGTGGGAAAAGGGGCACAGCAAGCTGTAACGGATCGCCTGGCACCCCGACTGGGTACCTCCGTTAAAGGATGCTCCTAGCGCTTCCTGAGGACTCCAAGCACTGCAGCAGACACCACAACCACCGAACCAGAGAAGCATTTTAATCCTCTCAAGCATATGAATGCTGTAGACAGTTGAATAGGAACCATACGAATAGGTTTACTCTTCTAGCAGTCAAACTGGAACAGCATACAATAAATCCTTCCCCCAATAATGAGACGACGCTTCACTTTGAGGGTTAAGCAGGAACTCCCTGTACTGTCACATACAGTCTCTTTTATTCCCAATCCACAAACATAGTACAGCCCACAGGGCGTTACAAAACAGCCAATCAATCCATACAATACACCCAGACACTCCCACACAAAATCCTCCCCTCTGGAAATACAGTTTCATAAAACACATCACAGGGACCCCAAAACATGCAATAACCCCATAAAAATATCCTTGGAACTGGGGGATCTGGGTGAACCACATATCCAAAATTCACCCAGATCCTTCAGTACTTTGGAAAATACAGTTTAATGCAGATTCTGCAGAACATATACAGGCTAAATAAAAAACAATCACTGTATAATGTGTCCCCTGCTGTATAGTCCAAAACCACCGCACGATGTCTCTGTGCAACAAATACTGGCGAGATGGCACCGTGTTGAAAAGTCCAAACAGTGTCTGTGAGTTAAAATGGCCGCCATCCATTGTTCTCACCATGTGCTTCTGATACAGGAAATGGTGGCCACCCAGTAACTCCACAGTATGTCCCCAGATGGTTCTTAAAAGGGCCAGCAGCAGCACAACACAAATCCATTATGCCCAAATCATGTCTTTAAAGGGCAATACATCCCAGGGGCCATAGTCACATGGCAGGAGGCTGGCAACCAGGCTTCTCCAGTGCATAGTGGCGAGGTTGGTTCCGCCACACAAGCCAAGCCAGTGCTTGCCCGAACAGCAGGGACCATCAGCCCCCACTCCGCACCACGCCACCCTCCAGACACACCGGGGTCCAGGTCCAGCGAGCCGGATGCCGCACATCACTCCCGGTATGTCGTGCAGCACCTGTCAACTAGCCCTGCAGCAGCCGCAACACAGGCAGACCACCGGACAACAGCGTGAACAAGCTGAATCCACAGAGGGCATGAATTCACCAGTCACAAGGGGACTCTCTAAATATGACCTAAATAGTCTTCACCTGTCTCAGTATAACTATGGCAATGTCGAAATATTACCCGTTTTAATGTTCTAGCCATACTATTTGCATTCATATGTAGCTATAGGGATCTAAGTGGTTATGATATATCTCTCATATTTCAGCATGTACCTAGCTAAACGTAAACTGAATATTCTGCCTGCATGTAACTTTATCTTGCACCTAATTTAACAAAAAATGTGCAATGCCTAGCAACTACCCTATTTGTTATACTAGCCAAGCAGCTCAAGGAATGCCGTTGGGGTACCTGGAGCCAGTTTGTATTTTTTTTTTTCTTTCACCTGCACAGCAAAAATAAAGATTTAAAAAAAAAAAGATCATCTTGGAGCCATTTAGCAATAAAAAAAAAAATATGTAAATACGTAAAAAAATTAAATTTTAAAAATAATTTTTAAAAAAATAATTAAAAAATAAATAGATATGTGTTATTTTGTTCTAACTGTATTGTGATATTAATATATATATATATTTATATCAAAATACACGTAGAACGAAATAATATATATATCTATATACATAAATATATACGTATATATCACTATATATATAGCTATATATAAATAAATAAAAAATTAAATTATATATATATATATATACATATAGATTCACATACGTATATATATATATATACATATATTAATTCTACATATATATTTATGTAATATTTTTACATAATTAGGTATCTTAATTAATTACAATTAGCGGGACCTGCCTGACAACCCATGCCGAAAGTAAAGGGAATTTAATTTGCTAGCACAATATTTAACCCTATAACTTTCCAAGACACCATAAAACCTGTAGATGGGGGGTACTGTTCTACTCGGGAGACTTCGTTGAACACAAATATTAGTGTTTCAAAACAGTAAAATGTATTACAACAATGATATCGCCAGTAAAAGTGAAGTTTTTTGCATTTTTCACGCACAAACAGCACTTACATGGATGATATTATTGCTGCAATACTTTTTACTGTTTTGAAACACAAATATTTGTGTTCAGCGAAGTCTCCCGAGTACAACAGTACCCCTCATGTACAGGTTTTATGGTGTTTTAAAAAGTAACAGCGTCAAATATAAGGCTTGTGTTTCATTTTTTTCACATTAAAATTAGCCAGATTGGTTACGTTGCCTTTGAGACCCTATGGTAGCCCAAGAATGAAAATTACCCCAATGATGGCATACCATTTGCAATAGTAGACAACCCAAGGTATTGCAAACGGGGTATGTCCAGTCTTTTTTAGTAGCCACTTAGTCACAAACACTGGCCAAAAATTTTTTCACACACAAAAAAATACTAACGCTAACTTTGGCCAGTGTTTGTGACCAAATGGCTACTAAAAAAGACTGGACATACCCCATTTGCAATACCTTGGGTTGTCTACTATTGCAAATGGTATGCCATTATGGGTTTAAATTTCATTCCTGGGCTACTATAAAGTCCCAAAGGCAACGTAACCAATCTGGCGAATTTCAATTTCAAATGTACTGTGCTATATTTGACCCTGAAACTTCCCAAAATGCCATAAAACCTGTACATAGGGGGTACGGTTTCACACGTGAGACTTTGCTGAATACAAATATGTGTATTTTATTGCAGTAAAAGCAAACAGTATTATGACATTGACCGTTAAAATGTCATGTAGAACTAAAAAAATAAAAGAAAATCTTATTTTCTCCCATTTTTTTCATATTAAATTATGTTTCATAGCTAAATATTTGATATTAAATGAAAGCCCTGTTTCCCCTGAATAAAATGATATATAATAAGGGTGGGTGCATTTAATATGAAAGAGGTGAATTACTGTTGGACAGACATGTAGCGCAAATGCCAGGTTTTGTTTACATTTTGTTTCGTTCACAACGTGTACATTTGGCTCCGTCCTTAAGGGGTTAAGCGCTGCACTGGTCCAGTTGCGGATCGCTTCCCTCAGTGACTGAGCTCATAATTTTTTTTTTTTTTAATTCTTTATTTTTATTCGTGCATGGATAAACAGTCGGGTCTGTCATGCCACAACAGCAATGCAAGACCGTATATCAACAAGTGGTAACATGGCATAATAAGTTCTGTGCACAATTTTTAAGTTAAAAAAATAAAAGTAAAAGTGACATGCAAACAATGATAGACAAGGCATATGACAGTCGAGTGTTGTTTCAAGCTGGTGTGTCTAAGTTGTAGGCATTTTAACTGCTAAGGTAAAGGGATTTTCTCTTATGAATACGTTGAGATAGTTAATAACATGCTTTCATGGGAAGTTAAGAAAATAAGTGATGTGCAAGCTTAAATGAATCGGTTTCATAACTAATATGGCACACTAGCTTAGATAAGGATGTCTTGATCTGGGGTACCAGGTTACTATATTACAGGCTAGGAAAATATGCTAGTAAAATTATTATTAAATGCAAGTTGTAAATGGCTCTGTGAGGCTAAGTTATGTGGCAAATATAAGTAAGGCACCCCTACGGGAAACAAAACAGCTTGAAGAACATTAAAACAACGTGGCTCAATAGGAGCCTAGTGGGGGCTTCCTAACCAGGCTAGGTAAATCTGAGGACCTCTGGCTTTGAACTGGCCTCCGGCACAACATTTATCCGTGTGTGACTGGTTTAAGAGAGAGACCATCCAGACGAGCATGGTTGCCCCAGTGTGGGACTAAGGTGTTTTATGCTAGTCTGTAAGATACCAACTTTTGCTGAGTCCGTGTTTCTGATAGCATAGCATTGTTCAGTGTCCATAGTCCTTGGTGAGATGGTAACTGAGATACTTTATGTCTCCGTCTGCATGGGGTAAATATCCCTGCGTCTCAAACAGGGTCGCAGGCCGTGGGCCTCTGTGTGGATCAGTCCGTTTCTCTTCACCCGATGCCTTTTCTAGCGTGGCGGGACATGTGCCCCTTCGAGGTTCCCTCTCCTGTGGGCCGTGGAGGGACTGTCCGCCATTTTCGCCCACCAGCCAACAGCCTCGCTGCGTCCTGGTCAGCGCCACAGGCGGCTTTGTGAGTATTCGCGTGCGGGGTTGCGCTTTTCTGGTTGAGGGTTGTTGGTATCGCAGAGTGGGAGGTTGGTTGGGTGCGCCTGCAGGCCCCGATCTGGAGGATGGGGTCGTGTGTGCTATCCGAGGACCCCGGCGCCGTTTCCCGCCATGATGAGCTTCGGCTTTGTTTCCGTCGTGTGGCCGCTCGGGAATTACAAGGAGGGTTCGCCTGCAGGTGGCGCCGGGCAGCCGGGCGGATCCATGCCATCACTTCTTTCATCGCTAGCTTGTGAGTCTGTCTTTGGGCTTTACACTTTGCCCAGAGGTAGGTGCTTAGCCAGCTAACAAACTCTAATGTGTGCTTGGGTGGCTTAGTAGGTGTTCGCTTGGTCATAGGCTGTGTCTGAGCCACCATCTTGGCTAGGTCCTGTCTTTCCCGTTTGGCTGCATGTTTTGTCGCTTGTTCAGGGGGCGATGTGGGGGTAATCGTCCCCAGCGAGGACCGGGATGTCCCCCGCCGGTCCAGAGGGGGGGGTAGCAGGGCTGTAGTGGGCTCTCGTTTGTGAGCTTGACCCGTGCCGGGAGATCGTCCGCCTCTCCCGGGCTTCAGGCTTTTCTCTAATTTAGGCCGCATGGCCGGTAGAGGTTTTTCAGCAGTGTACTGGTGCCGGACAGGTACCGTTTTGTTTGGCATGGTGTTCTGTGTTTTTTCCTGGTCACTCTGTGCTGCTAACATGTTTCTGTTGCTCGGTTTTAGCGCACTTATGCCGGTTGTAGCAGGAGCTCTTAGGATGTGCGACTTGCCATCTTGGCTGTCAGGCCCCGCCCCCCCTGAGCTCATAATTTTTGATGATCTGAGCCAGTCCAGTGCTTTACCTGCCTCCAAGACCGCCCACAGGCCCCGACACCAAGTCCGCCCACAAGAATGCAGTGTATGTAGAGTGGATAAAGGGTGTGTGCTTGTGTATTGGATGCAGTGTGTGTAAATTGGATGCATTATGTTAATAGAGTGGACATGGTGTGTGTTATACAGATACATAGACACACTGGCACAATTACATAAACAGACACACAATGACACATAGTTATACACACACACACACATACAGATACACATACATATACCCACATTGACACACACACACAGATACACATACACTCCGATACAAAAGATAGAATACACACAAACACAGACAACAACAAAAGGACACACAGATATACACACTGACACACAGATACACACACACACACAGAGAAATACATACTGACACACACACATGCAGGTCATTTTTAGCCACCCTCCTGTTTCTTACCTTTTGGGTGCAGTAGGGTAGCTGGGGCTGTTAGGAGTTGGCCTCGCAGCTGGCTCTCCCTTTCTCACTGAGTCCTTTCTCACACGCGGAGTAAACTGGAAGGAAGTGACCGGCTGTAGCTGCCATTTTTTATTTATTTATTTTTCTAATTTTTCCATTTTTATTTCATATTTTAAACAATAGATGGATGGATATGCTTAAAGATATACCCTTAAAATAAGGTAGAACAAGCCCAAATTGTAGGTTTTGTTTTGGTTTAGAACTTGGACAATTGCCTCTGTCCTTAAGGGGTTAAACAACAAATAAACAGATTGACTGTAACGGGACACCTCCTGTAACCCGACCGGTTACCTCCTGTTAGTTCCCTTCCTTCAGCCGATCATGAACTCTTGCAAGATTAGGGGACTTAGCTCTATGCGTTCCCACGCCGAGACGGCACTCAGCCCTGTAAGCTCTTATTCCTTACAAGGACTTTTCCCAGTTGCATCCTCTGCAAGCTGGAACAGCAGACACAGGGGTAAATCTTCCTTCCCTCCAATAACAGGACGACACACAGTTTTGGAGGTTTAATCACTGAACTCTGCCAATCTTTATTAACAACAGGCTTCTTTTAAGCACAGGTCCACGCAGGAGGTATCCATTCCACACAATACACTTCCCTTAGTCCCAGGCAGGAGGGGGCTGGGTTACAGATAGCCATCTCCCACCCTGGGAGATACCAACAGTGCACAGGGATACACATGAAAATATATTACATTCAGGGGATGGGTACACTTTGGGGCTCAGCGTCCCC